ACCTCCTTGACCTGGTCCCATCATACCCCCTGGAGCTGGTCCAATCATACCCCCTTGACCTGGTCCCATCATACCCCCGGGAGCTGGTCCAATCATCCCCGGCTGCCCCACCATCCCCATGTTCGATGCCATTCCATCTGATTCAGCTCCCATCATGCCATTGGCTGGCATGCTATAGTGCATGCTCATACCATCCTGTCCGTGTGCACTATATCCGGAGTTCAAGACGGAGCCATTCAAAGCGGGATACCCCGCCTCATGATGAATAGATGCCGGGGAATGGCCATCGTAAGCATGGATTGCCGCATTGGGGTTGACCATGTGTCCGGAGGGATCTGTAGGGGGATAAGGCATGCTTGCATTCGCAGGTGTAGCTACAGAGGTCGTTGCCTGCGAAGAAGGTTGTCATTTCTCGAGAACCCCTTCAACATCAACAATACCGTTGTGGTTTGAGTTTTCTTCTCGGCTGCCCACGTGCACTTGAGTGGTCTTGTAAGACCAGGAGGTTTTGTCCCATTCAATGCAGCAATAGCTGCAGCCGCCTGATAATTCAAACATCATATGACCTCCTGCCAACGATCTTATCTACCGCTTTGTGCGTAGTATACGTCACGAAGGCGAAGTTCTTGCCAGGCACCCGCACGTTGTCAATCTCTCCGTGCTTCGCAAAAGCCTTTTTGAGAGCTTCTTCACTCTCAGTGCCCACAAGATTTCCCACATGTACTGTCGTGTTCGACTCTGAAGCCTGTCAGCAAGTAGTCAACACTGACACAAATCCATCACAACACGCCAGCTGTCTCACCTGCTTCGCCACAGTCTGAGCGTCAGTGGACGGAGGAGGATCGGGTGGTCTGTTTGCTGCTGCATTCACATCTGTATGCCTTGTAGTACGAGCCAGGCTGACCCGCAAGGGCCTCCCCATCAACCGACCGCCATCCATGGCAGCAACAGCGGCGTTTGCATCCTCCTGTACCGGCACTTCTATCAAACCTTTGCAATAGCAAACCAAATTCGGTCACCTGCGTCCGGATGGTCACAAATCCATACCCCAGACACTTGCCATCGTCTCCCCGGATGATCCTGGAATCCGAGCAATTGAAGTGTGCGAACGATTCGAAGAGCATGTATTCGTCGATGATGTCTCCTATGTTCCCAACGAAGACTGTGATGTGATTGCTTGTATCCTCCTTCGGTCCTGCTTGTTGCAAGTGCCAGGAGACGTTTAACGGAGAACCCAAAACTTCCCGACCATTCAAGGAGGCCAGTGCTACACTGCAGACCGAATCGAATTAAAGGAAACACTTTCAACAATGAAAGAGAAAGCAAGACAAAAAATTACTGCACCTTGCACTTGAGAAGTCTGCAAAGTCGCAGTAACCATGAATTCCGTTTGCATCTGGAATGATTCTGCATGACGTCAACTGGCCGAAGGCTCCAAAGATGCTGCTTAGAAGCGTTTCATCCACGAGCGGACTGGAGTACGAGAAGTCAGAATTGAATATCAAACCCTCTAAAATTCTCATTCAAAACGTAGCTAATCGTAGTGCAAAACTTGCGTCATGGATTCCTCTAAAAATCTGCTCCTGCACTTGCTCCTGCCCCTGCTCACGCTCGTGCTCTTGCTCCAACATTTCTGACTGTCCTGCTTCTTGTCATCATCCTCGTTCTCTTCCTCTTCCTCTTCCTATTTCATCTCATCGTCCTCGTTCTTGTCCTCCTTGTCCTTGTCCTCTCACCTCAGCCCCGTCACATGCAGGCAGCGATTCTCAGCACTCGCCATTTCTGCCGCTCGCAGGCTCCCGCCACCCTCCCTGATTCCAAATAAATGGGTCAAACATTGGGCTAAATCTTGAAAATTTCAAATGAATTGAATAGATGTTTGTAATGTTGAAACACCCGTCCTTGGCACCTAGAATTGACCCGTGCCATTCCCTTTGTAGAACTTGGCTAGAAGATTCGCCGGATGGTACCCGCTTCCCCGCTCATACAGCGTTCGGATCCCGGCGGACCAGCCGGCGGACGGGCCCGGCCACCCAGCACTGAGAGAGTTGGTGATAGTATCTCCGAGGATACATGTGAACAGATAGTGAAATGAGCGTGCCAGGTTCCGATCCTCAGGATTTTTTACTCAAAGTTTTAAGTCCTCAGGGATCGGTATGCAGGGGAGGTATAGAGGAGGAGAGGGGAGAGAGGAGGAGATGGGAAAGAGGAAGAGAGGGGCAAGAGGAGGAGAGGGGCAAGAGGAGGAGAGGGTAGAGAGCTCCATGGATGGACATGGGTGTGAAGTAAATCTAAGATCCGATTCTCTTGTTTTTCAAGCAGAACAATTTGCAGAATGAATTTGCTTGGGGAAGTGAGTGTTGAGAGAGAGAAAGTGCATGGAGGGCTATTGATTAGATTGTTGAATGATATTCTGGAGTTTTGAATCTTTGCTAAAACAAGTTTTTCCTTAGTCTTGCCTTGATCGTGGGTTTGTTTATCTGATGTCTTCTTTTCTCAATCCTTGTTGGTTGCTTTATTCTTGCAGATGTTTTATTGACAGATGTTTGTTGTCTATGTTCCTGTTGTATGATTCGAAGGTATCTCTCAAATCTAAGCATTCTATTGTACTTTACTTTAGGTTCAATTTATGGAATAGCGCGACACTCACTTCATTTTTCCAGGGTATTCCATTGAGCCCTCAACAACTATCTGTCTTCCACAAAGCATGGCATAATGCAACTCGTCTTGAAAGGCTAAGAATTGAAACAACACTATCTTGGAATGACAAGCAACATCTTACTCAACATCATTGGCATGCTGTCGCTTTCCTGCAGGCCCTGTGGGAGCTTTCTGAGCCCTCACTATTTTGCCCGGTCGTTCCTCAAGGGCTCTTGCAAGCAGCAACGAACAAGCTTGCAGCTTCTCTCGAGATTTCCGCGCATTGGCTACTCACAACCCTGGGTCAGAGCGTTTCGCTCCTCCACCTCCACATTGCACTCTCTTCAGTGCCTCGGGGAGCAGAACGTGGGCCCTGACCTGCCCGTTTGCCTCATCAGGTGTGTTGAAGGAGAGCCGCACCTGACGGGAAAGCTGAGCATTGCTGGGAAGGAGAAAGTGTTCCACCGGCTACAGGACGATGCTTTGGAAACGACCGTTCAACGTCTCGAGAGGATAGCAAAGGAGGAGCGGAAAAAGGTTCTTGCGCAAGGGTTCAAGAAGCCAAAGAAAGTCAAGGGGAAAGGAAAGGGCAGGAAACGACAGATGGAATCGACCGTCGAAGAGCCTGAGGGAGCCAACACGGAACACCTTCCTCCACCAGTGCTCGAGGACATCGATGTCTGGGTCGAGGATTCCCGGGGACATCGCGTCTCTGAAGACACGATGAACAAGCTCGCACTGCAAGACCAGTACCTGTTGCATGTGGGTGATGAGACGTTCAGAATGATCAAGAATGTCCCCGAGGTGAATGCTCTGGCCGTGGAGGGGAAGCCCATGGTTGGTTTCCAGCTGTGCACTGACTCGCAGCTGCTGTTTGCTTCGGAGCATGCTTCCAGGTGGGAATGGTACCGGCTGGAGGTGAACGAAGATGCCCCGGACGAGGAAGGAGGAGAGGGAGAAGATGTCGAAGGGAAGATCGATTCGAAAGTGCTCATCTCAACATCGCAGCATTACACGCCGACGGGAGAGGATGTGGGAAAGCGGCTGATGGTGCGATTGACTCCTGGGCGTGTAGACGAGGCAAGCGGGGCCTTGGTGCAGGGAGATGCCGAGACTTTTACGATGAATCGTGCAGTCCATCAGGGCCCGGACATGAGCGTTCATGAGAAACGATGGCAGCACTGCAGGGAGTTTGACTTGAAGAAGCCTTCGAAGCTCCGGATCGTCTCTTACAACATCCTTGCGGATAACTATGCCAACACTCCGTTCGCTGTTGAGAACCTGTACCGTTACTGTGACCAGGAGTACCTCCAGATCGACTATCGAAAGCAAGTCTTCATGTGGGAAATTCTGCAATACAACGCAGAGATCGTTTGTCTGCAAGAAGTCTGTGCAGATCTGTACGACAAGTACATCGAGCCGATGATGAGGGCAGCTGGCTACACCGGCATCTACACCAACAAGATCACCTCCTCGAGGATTGGCTGCGCCACATTCTTCAAGTCCGACAGGTTCTCCATGCGAGGATTCCCCATCATCGCCGATCTCACATCTGAGTGGGAGCGGGACGAGGTGCTCAGGTCTTTGTGCTCGGGGTCGTCAGAGTCGGCTCAGAACCTTCATCGCGCTCTTGTCCGCTCGACGACTGTAGCGCAGATCATCACCCTGGAGGCCAAGGTGGACCAGGACACGGAGCAGGGAAGGAGGAGCAGACCGGTTGTGGTGTCCAATACTCATCTCTTTGGGAACCCCGACGCTCCCCACGTCCGACTCGTACAGATGGCGTCGTTGCAGAACATGCTCAAGAGCCATTGTGAGAAGTTGGGAGGGGCCAACTGGAGGTCGATTCCTATGGTCCTCTGCGGAGACTTCAATGCTCCCCCGCAGGAGTTCTTGCACAACTTCCTCACCCTGGGTCTGGTGGACAGAGGTCATGATGATTGGGGCAAGGGAATGATCTTCAAGTCCCTTGACAGCAGGAAGGAGCGGGAGGCGAACTGGTTTGCAAGAAAGACGATGAGCACGGAAGATTACTTGAGGGAGACTATTTTGATGTCGCAGCCAGAGGTCTGTGCTGAGCTAGAGCAGCCCTTCGTTTGGCGACAAGCGTGCAAGGACGTGCCAGCAACGTTCTGCACATCCTTTGCAACTCAAATAGTGGACTACATTTACATCGCAGGAGATGGTCTAGATGTAAGTCTCTTCTTTTCCCTCCTGATCATCGTGCTCGTGCTCGTGCTCGTGCTCCACCTTTATCACCACCGCTCTTTCTCATCCTGCTCCTCGCTTCCCTTCCTCTGCCCTCACTTTCGCCTTCTTCTCCCCTCCTTCCAGTGGGCCTTACGTTTCTGAAGGTGGACTCTTCCTTGGGGAGCGTGCCTGCCTTCACCGAGGAGGAGCTGAAAGCGGACACCGGGCTGCCGTCCGCCTGCTTCCCATCGGACCACATCGCCCTGGTGGAAAACCTGTACTGGGAGGAGTCTTAGATGAGACGAAGAGTTTCAAATCCGTTTCATTCTCGAAGCACAAGATCACGATGATGCACGCAAAGGCGTAAAGAATATTCGACCTCTCACCCACATTCCATCCACAAACCCTCCCTGTACCTTCATGAAAAGTTTCAAAGACTTTTGACCCCTCAGTTACTTTTTCTTGGATGCATTCCTTCCTTCTTCTCCTCCCCCCTTCTAGCTCCTTTGTTTCCTCTCCCCTCCTCTCACTCCTCTTTCTTCTTCTCCTCCTTGTCTTGATCCGTCGCAGGTACCACGTATAGCGGGTAAAGATAGAAAACCATAGCGGCCAGCAAGCTGTAAACGGCCACAACCACCACAACAGGAGAGAAGGGGTGGTAAGCATACAGCGCTCCTCCTATCGACGGCCCAATCACACCCGCCAGCTTCTCAGCCGTATCGAGCACGCCCATCAAGCCGCCTACGTTGTTGGACGAGCTGATCCTCGTCACAGTTGCCGAGATGCTGGTGTTGACGATCCCCAGTGCCACGACCGTCAAGGAGAGCGCGCCATAGAGAACAGCAGGGTTGTGAGTCTGCGCAGTCACGTACCTGCCACCTCCTAGTAGCAGCACGCAGAAGACGACGAGCTTGGTCTGGTCCTTGTCGAACCGATTGATGATGGTCCGCGACAGCAGCTGCGAGATCGCGTACATGGCCCCGATGAAAGCGAAGTAGTTAGAGTAGTCCTTGGGCTGGAAGTGAAACCTCTCCTTCAGCAGCGTCGTCAACAGGGTGAAGAAGATGTGGAACCCCATCGAGAGCCCAAAGCGAAGGAACAGGATCACCCGAGCGCATGCTGGCGCGGCAAAGGCGAGCACAAACACCTCCTTCACCGAGTCGTACACGGTGAAGAAGACAGACTCCCAAGGCGTCTTCTTGCCTGTCTCTGCACACGGCGAGCGCGAGGCCTTGGACGGCAACTGGAAGGCAGCGAAGAACGCGATCAGGTTGAGTACCGTAGCTGCCGCCGCTGCTTGCATGTGCGTATGCACGAAGGGATGAACGATCGGCCCAACCATGAACCCGAAGCCTGCTGCGAGGCCCAGCTTCCCCAGCACACCAGCTCGCTCCCCAGGAGGTACAAGATCAGCAACGACAGCCTTGGCGATGGTAAAGTTATGAGCAAGAAGAGCCGCGGGGATCAGCGACAGCCACAGTTCGAACAAGGAGGAAGCAAAGGCAAGAATCATCATACTCACTGCGCTGGCCAGTGCGCCAAGAGCAAGGGCGAATCTCCTTCCTAGGTGATCAGAGAGAGCTCCTACAAGTGGAGAACCAAAGAGTCCTAGGGCCGATGACGCGGACGTCATGCTTCCCACACACAAGGCACCGCAGTCCAACTTGGCTCTCAGAGTTTGTTGGTATGGGTTCATGATGGTAAAGCCAGCCATGGGCGCGATGGTGAGAACGATGACCACCATCTCCCATTTCTTCGGCGTCAGATCCCTCAGCCATGAGATGATCGAGCTCCTGCTCACTGTTGGCTTTACCGGTTTCTGCTCACTGCGTTCATCCGATTCGGTGCAAGTTTGTGTTCCCATCTTTTCTGTGACAATCAGAAGCGCAGTTGTCCCACAGGCGTGCAGCTTCAGAAAGACTGAGGGTGATCAGCTGCTCACACGACGTTTCACACTTCTGTCTCCTTCTTCAGCCTCGAGTGCAACTCAGTTCAAGAGCTTCGTACAAAGACTATCTTAGTCTTCGAACTTCCCCTGAATGAGACTGATAACTTTCTGTCTCCTGAAACCACTTCTTCAACTTCCTCTCCGTTTGTTCTCAAGTTCTGATCTCAGTCTTCTCTTCTCTCTCTCTCTCCTGTCTCATCCCCTTGCTCTCTGTCCATGGCCCGCCATCGCGTTAAACCTAGTGGAGTCTCCACCACCTACCCTTTATATGGTACCCATGTACCCCATTCACAATCTACACCCCTTTAGTGCAGTAGCCACCTTCATAACCCATAATTTTCCCATGTAAATCACTACTTAAATATGGTAGGGTCATATACCCCATGGGGCGATTTTTTTTGTTTTACCACCCCACCCCCAAGATATTCTGTCCCCACCCCTGAAAGGTGCCACCCCTCCATTGCAAGCGCCGGGTGGTACCAAGGAACATTATCGTAATTTACCACAACATTTCGTAATTACTACTTATTTATTTGAAATTCTGAGAATATTTTCAATTTGAAAATAATTGGACATTTTTGGATATTTTACTGCAGAAAGTTTCAAATATATGCATACAATCTTGAAGTTTTTCACAAAACCACCGAAAAATGATACAAAGTGGAATCCTTGCATACCAGCTAGCTCAAAAAGGTTTTATCTGTTATGGAATTTTATTATTATTTGAAGTACAAATTAACAATTTATAATATTGTTACTTTTATGAAAATATTATCACTTATAGTTATTCTAAATCAAAATTTGTACATTGAGCAGAAATAAACCGGTACATAATCACACAGCTATAAACAATCGTACAGATTCATTTTAAACCTCCTCGCCGCTGCATAGGGGTCGTCCTCCGCCCCTTCCGCCGCACTCCTCCTCCGCTTCCCTCCGCCTCTGCCTCTCGTCCCTCCTTTCATATCCCAGCAGCCAGCTCCATCTATCTCATCTCCTTAGCTGTTGAGAATGTCTGGCCTTCTCAGGAGCGCGGCACAGCGGACTCTGCGGAAGGTGCTGCCCACTGTTTCTCGCCTGGGATCTTCAGGTGTGTACGGGTCTACCTCGGTCGTGAACAGAAGACTGTCTCCTGCTCTGCCTTCAACCAGCAGGTTTGTCACAACCTCCTCCTTCTATATCGAACCTCCTGAGGAGATGCTGTTTCCTGATGAAGACATGGAGAAAGGCATTTGGTACGATCTGAACTGGTCTCTCAATCGTTCATCAATCACTCCCACCGGACGATCATTTCGAAACCTCAAGTTGAAAGATCTTGAAGCCAAAGGAGGCATGTCTAAACTGTATGATCCTGCAGTGCTGCCCTTCACGCAGCAGCTTGAAAATGACATCTTCAGTTACCTGTCGAACTCAGAGGTCTTGTATGTGCAGGATTGTGCTCTTGGCGCCCTTTCGACCAATGAAATCCCGGTTCGCATTATCACTGACAGCCCTGCTGCCGCTGCCATGTTTGCAAAGTTGTGCTGTCCCACCCGCAAGATCAAATTGAGCGATTACAGGGAGGATGTAACTGTATACTTGGCATCAGAAACCAACCTGGGTCCTTTCCTCTCCGTAGACAAGCCAAACAGAAAGATCCTGATGGGTGGGACAATTAAGGCCAATGAGCTTGTCAAGAAGATGGCAAGATCTTCGGTGAACGCCTTCCTCGCTCGCAACATCCTTCCTCTCTGGGGCTCAATGGAAAACAACACACTCTACATGGCACATCCAGGTCCGCACGTTGGCGGCTTTTCTGGATTCTCTTTTAGTTCTTCTGGTTTCTGTCGCCTGCTCAATGCTGAGGTCCAGACCGATGGCTCAATTGTACCCATGCCCAAGCAGCCCAACGCCATGTCTTTGCCTAAGTCTATCGTCATGTTCGCTCATGATGATACTGGCGCGATTCCCGCAGCCACCAAGTTGACGCCAGACCAGGTGAGCCGACGTATTAGATAGAAGCATGGGTACATAGATAAGGGTCAAGTGATCTGTTTTGTGTGCTGGTTCTCGATGTCCAGCATTGTGGATAGTGTTGATGATAATTCCCTGAAATCCTTTTTCCTTTAGGCGGGCTTCTACTATATCACAGCATGTGCTCCAAGGAGTCTCTCTCAGTATGTCGAAGCTGCTTCCCTCATGATGGAGTTCGCCAAAGTGTGCGATGTCTACATGGTTAACAGCGGGGCTTTTGTGAACGAGGATGATATCGAGACCACGGCTCGAGCCATCGTCGGCAAGACAGGGGGCTCCGCAGATGCTCTTGGATTGAAACCTATCCCTGTCACCTGCAAGACAAAGTCGCCCTCGAGCGAGCAAGTAGATACAGTTAGCATTGCTCTTAACCATATGGTATGTGCAGCGACAACACTCAGATTTCATGTTTAACAAAATATTTGCAGGCGGGAGAGCGAACAACGGTGGAAGAGATTCTCAAAGCTGGACCACCGAAAAGTAAAGAAAGGCTGCAGATTATTTCCTTTTCTTCCTTATTCCATTTCTGTTGGTTTTTATTTGATGCGATACGAACGTGGTGCGATCACATTAAAAGATTGAGAGTGCGGCTTTCTGTTCAGGCTCAGGTCTCAACACATGACATACCAGGTGCAAGGCTATTCATCTCACTAACTCATCGCAACTGTCTCCTTCGCCGCCGTCGAGGATCACTGTAGTGTAATAGGTTGATCGTAACCGCGGTTTCAGTTTATTTGTCCGAACGGTCAAGCTTCACCCGACTCCGAGCCTCAGCCGGCACAAATAAATTGACTTAGCTAATCTGATTTGTCAAAGAAAACTGTCAATAAGATGAGTGAAAGCGACAGGAAAACATGGCACGGTCAGCGAAGAGGGGGAGAGAGCTGAGATAGCATCGATAAGGACCTCTTATCTTGATCGTCAACAGCAAGACCTCTAGCAAGCGCTGCTACTTGAGATGGCTCAGTCTAGGAATGCTTGGCTCTTGCGCTTCATTCTCTATCTTGTCATCGCTTGGACCTCAAGTGCACAAAATGCAAACTGCAGCTCTCGTACCTACTGCCTTCAATGCATTTCTGATGGACTTTGTGGATGGTAACAAGACACTCATGCTCCCGCCCCTCCTGCACCTTTCCTTCAGGCTTCCCGTTTCCGATTCAAAGATCTGATAGTGCTACAAGTCAGTTACGCTCACTTGTCCAGGTGTGGGATTCAAAACAACTGTATGGACATCAATGCAGTCAACTGTCGGACGGGAATCGGCTGCACATGTTCAAATTGGTACTATGAAGCTGTAGATCCAAATTATCTAGGTAAGTTTGGGTCATTTCCTTCAGCCTTGCTCGTCTTCTGCCTCTCATACTGTGCCTGCAGAGCCCTCCTGGTTTGCTCAATCATGGCGAGGAGGTGTGCGCCGTACCCCCACTGTCTGTTGTGCGCAGCTTCAGACATGTCAGCTCTGCAAGCTGAACAAATGCAGGCAAGTGTTGAGGCGATGGCGTAAGGCTTCTGACTGACTTATCCCGAAGTTTCTGCAACAAATGCAGCGACGGCTCTTGCTCCCTTCCCCAGTATACAGACGCACAAGCGTGTAAGGCGAACGGCGGAGCATGGAGTGGCGTCTGCTCAGATTGTCCTACACTTAATGGCTGCTCGGTTCCTGAGGGACAGTCTGATTGTGGACCTCCACCAGTGAAGTAAACTGATGGAAGAAACGTGTGAATTGAGAGAAGGAGAAGAAGAGGTGGAGGAGAAAAGGAAGAGGAGAAGGAGAAAGGTGTTGGCGGTGATACAGACGGAGAAGAAGGTGAAAAACTTTTTTATGTTCTGTACACAATCGATCGAAAACGACGGAAAATCAAAAAATATCCTTGGCTCCCCACCACAGCCACTCAACAATCAGATCTCAGCCTGCTGGAACTATCAAAGGATCTTCTGCTGCTCCAGCTTCAGCTCCCTCCCCCTTCTTCCTGACCTGCTAGAAGCTGCGGTAGTGAGCCCTCACTGCGAAGCCTAGCCCATACGAGACTGTCACACCCTCCGAGTTGGAGTCGCAGGGCGTCTGCTGGCCGGGCGAGCAGGGAAGAGCTGCCTTGATGGCGTCCCCGTCTGCCTTAGACACGAGGAAGGAGTGGAGCCCCACGTTCCTCCGCGTCCCATCGTCAGTCATGATGAAGTAATCGTTGGTATCGTTGACGATTATCATCGCCAGAGCCCCCGCTTGCTCTGCATGGATCGCCTGCAAACCTTGTCAGCGAGCTAGAGGCCAGCTGGACTTTCTCACCTTCTGTAGGAAGCTGCACTGACCGCGATCGACGAGCGCGATCTTGTTCCGCACGGAGACTCGTCCTACGAGGCACTGGCAGGCATCACCGGCGTACTGGACTTCTGCAGTGGTCCTTCCTGTTGGGAGAACTACGGCACCGAACCATGCAGGAGCGAAGTGGAGGGCCTTCCTGAATGGGGAAGAAACTTGCAGCAGACCTATCGTTGGGCTGGCAGTGTTGACCAGTGCGAGGGAGCTGAGAAGGGAGAAAAGGAGGAGCAGGTTCATAGCTTACAGCATCTCTGGTGAATGAAATCACGTTAGAGGAACGACATTGTGATAATGTAGCAAGAAGTGCACAGTCACTTCACGAGGGACAACAGCATGCAGAGCGTTCACCTACTATACTGAATGTACCAAAGTTTCTCATGCCCATGCCTCAGGCAGCCATGTGCCTCCTCCACTTTCTCTACCCCGTCTCAGTCCTTGTGACCATTTTTTTTATTCCCTTTCCTGTAGCTCTCGCTACATGCTCGCACTCTCCTCAGACTCGCCCGACCCTCTTCGATCCTTCCCATCGATCCAAACGCAATCAAATCGCATACACTGTCAAATCTAATATCCTTTCTCTGTCCCCTCACAGTCCTCGACCTGTTCCCAGCTCCTCGTGTCTCGTCATCTCAGCATAAAGCTGCTGCATTAAGCTTCACATCGCACTCTCTCCTCTCTTGTTCGAGCGTTCGTCCCTTAGGTCGGCTTCCCACCGTCCCCATTATCCACTTTCATTTCCAGCCTCATCAGGAACACCCACCCTACCAAAATCGCCTATTCACCACCCGTGGTCACGTCAGGAACGGTGCGACTGCTGCCGTAAGAGATCCTTTTAAAAGTGCGGGAGGAGAGGGAAGGGGAGAAGGGGAGAGAATGAAGAGAGAAGCATAATAGGCGATATGACAGATCGACGCAAACAAGAACAAGGGGCAACCACGGAATCAAAACTGTTTCCTCTTCATTGAAGGAGCTGCAGCTTCCTGGAGTGAGTTCACACAATGCAGAGGTGAGATGCTCAGATGAGGGAGGAAGAATGGGTCGTGATGGCCCATCTGCTATCCTTTTCGACATTGTAACTACGAGTTCACTTGTCATATTTAAATTAAACCATTATGAAAACACTACCTGCTTCTTGGTATTCGAGGATTTTCATCACTCCGAAAGCTCTCTTTGCAATGAGATCTACATCACCAACTTCCCTCACCGTCTCTATCAATAGTAGTCGCTGAGTCCCCCATAGTGACATTCCCAGGTCCGGACGTTCATCTCCTCCATGGTCCATCCAGTCTCAGGCCATGACCGCTGAAATCCGATGGCTGTTCCCGTGTGCCAATGCGTGGGCGAGCGAGCTCCGTTGGGAGGAAACCTTGTGAACTTGCTCGTTACATCCTGATTGTTCAAATCCATGTCCATGCATTCATTTGCATGGATCGGCTTCGGAGCTCCATCTTGTTCCATCATGCAGCTGTCCGTGGAGTTGGTGATAGCTGCACCCACCACCTGCTGTCCGACCGCGTGGCAGGTTCTTTGATGGTACTGCAGCAGCGCCATGTCGATTCCCTGTTGTGCAGGAGCGACATTCTCAACTCCAGACAGCCCAGTGTTGAAGAGGATTCCATTGCAGTGCTTCTTAGCTGGAGAGAACTCACAAGTCTCAATGCTGGGGCAATTAATTCAGCTCTAAGATAGGTAATGGATACAAAAGACTTACGATGAAGCATCGCGTTTGCATGGGAAACAACGAGGCTGGAGAGGGCTTGGCATCTTCGCAGGAACAGTTCGATGAGCACTGTACAGTCGAAAACGAGGAAGGAGTAGCGCCAAGTTATGCGCTTCTCGCTTATTCCATTTTCAGCAACACAACAAAGTTTTCCTTTCTCCACAAATATTACACTTGACTTGAACCCGTAGACAGTGCTGCCGTATTGGAAGCACAGTTTCCTGTAAAGAAATAACCGTCAACTATGGCGACGTGACATGCTGCCCTTTGTTGTACATTGACGGACAAAAGGAAGCATATTTCAACATCAACTATGATAGAAACTCAATAATTCAACTGAAATGAAGTATGCAGAAAGAATGATTTGAAAGTTCTGACGACAATGGTGCAGGAAATCGCACTGATTGGCGCCAAAGCAAGGAAATTGAAACGGCATAAGCATGACGAACAGCAACAAGGAACATCCAAGGCGGAGAGAACTTATTTTGCCACCAATACATAAAATGAAGTAAGCGAAATAATTCAATGGTGCAGGCGTACATTCAGAAGCATGTGCACAGGATCCCAAAATTTCTCGTGAACCAGGGGCCGCAATACAGATGCGACAGCAAAAGCGGAATGCGATCAATACTATACAACAGCTAAAGAAGCAGAGACCTACAAGAGACAATGGATGACATGTTTGACCAGGTTGAGAGTTATATAACTTCAGGTAAAAGATAGGAATGCGAGCTTCTACATGCGTATGCCTCAACCAAGAACACCACCATGCTGCAATCCGATATACAGGGTAGGAGTAAGGTAGAAACAAAAACAAAGATCGGATGAGAGGATTTCTCGGGAAAGGTATGGGAAGCAGGAGTCGGAGCAGAGATGCAGCAAGATTCGGAGGAATAAGGGAGTACAACAAGCATGGCACATGACCAGAGACAATACCACGAGAATGTGGGGAATACAGCGGAGATGGAGAAGAATGTATGTTTGAATGAACATGAAGAACATAATATAGATCAGGAGCGCCCTGTGAGGAAGGAGGAGCAGGACGAGCAGGAGGAGCATTAACGGAGAACGAGTAAGGCGGAAGCGAAGGCAGCATTAACGACAAAAAGGCGGCAAGTAGAGTTGAGGGAAAGTGGGGATGCTGGTGGGGTTATACCAAATATAGGGTAGGGGTTCCTGCAAGACACCTGCACATGCGGTAATGTCAAAAGGGGTGGGTGTATATTCTACTCTGGGATAAAGTAATATGATAACAACCGGTATCAACAAGGAAAATTGATGGTAGGGGTAAATTATATTAAAGATTTGGAAGGGTGGTCAGGTATGTCTGGTGGATATTGTCAGGGTGGGTACAGGAATGGGGTAGGGTGAAATGTTATCAAGCCACAGACCAGGGTGGGTGGGTGTGATCCTAAAGAGTGGCTGACATTGTGGGGGTTGAGCAGTGAAATGGAAAGCGGGGGTACTAAAAAAGAGGTCAGGTGGGTCATAGAAGGGGGTAGTAAAGAACAGGATTTTTGACTAGAAAGGAGGGGTAGTAGAAGGTAAGAAATCGGGTGATAGATGCAACCCCTCCGTATTTGGGGGTGGGGTGGGAATGGGGGTCCCCCATGTGGAGAGCCTCCGGTAGGCGGATTCATGTATTATGTCTCAAAGTCCGGGGTAGGGGTGATTTTGCAACCCAGGCGTAAGGGGTGGGGTCAACCAGGGTAGGTGATTTTCCACCAGTGATAGTGGAGGAGTAAGGGGTACGAAGGAAAACCATTGCTTTATCCGCAAGGGTAGGGTAGATGAGCAAGGGGTACTTGACCTATCCTTCTGTCTAAAATTAGTCAACACTACGGATGTACTAAATTTAAAACTCTATTTTAACATATATTGGGTTTTTAATCCCTCATACCGCCCGTCCGGAAACTTTGCAGAAAAATGGCGGGAAGGAAGGCCCTGGCAACGAGTCGGAGTGATGTGAACGAAGATGTTGACATGGAGGGATTGAGCGTTGAGCATTGAGAAGACGAGAAAGGAGCGAATGCGGCTAGTGATCGCATTAGATCTCCTCGGGATGTAGAAGATGTCAGTTCTAAACAGCGATTTGAGGATAGTAGGTGTTGGATGAGAAATCATGGCATCAAGATTCCTGCACATGATGAGATAATCTGGCTGTTTCAATTGGTCGAGAAGACTTGAATCCTGATCATAAGCATACAGATGGAAGAAGTCGAAGAGCCCGAAATGTCCGAGTACGAGAAGTTCCGGGCACAAAACCTCCAAAGGAACTTGGAGGTGCTCAAGATGTTAGGTAGGAGGGATGTTTTTTGGAAGGCCAACAGTTTGAGTGCCATGCAGGCATCGAAGCCGAAACTTTCCAGCCTGCTATGAGGTCCCCGGACAAGGACGACAGCTCAGATGGCCTCCAGGGCGGCACGCGAAGGAAGTCTGCGAGGCTAAGAGGCCTGACGGTGGATGGATCCGAGCTCGTCGAGGAGATGCGAGAGTTATCAGAGAGGAAGCGTCAGAAGCAGGAGATGAAAGTCAAGCATTACAAAGAAGCAGAGCAGCTGATTGAAGAATTCGAGATCTCGGATCGCAAACAAAAGAGCCTCTTTCAGCACACCGTGCACAGGGTAAGTTGTCAATGTGGTGTCTTGAAGTCTCATGGGACATTCTTTACATCAGATTCGTACAATGTCAGAAAAGCAGCTCAGGACCAGGATCAAAGTCATAGAAAATGCGAGAGGATCGGTACTTCATCCAGACCCATTCGCGCCTCTCTAATCATTTGTTCGACAGCAAGCACTGCTCAAGATGAAACTTTTTGCCATCGCTCTCAAGTGTGAAGATTACCCAGAGCTCTCGCAGGAGGCGGAAGATTCATACCAGCGCCTAGTCGAGGTCCTAGGAAGGCCTGCTTGGGAAGGCAGTCTGATGTTTGGGACCGAAGAGGATATCGTTGAGCTTAGTTGAATATGTGTGGCAACAGAGAGGTGATATTGATGGTATGCACCGTGCAGCCATCGAAATCTAAAGAACACAAGAATGTATATTAACATATGAACAAAACTTCATGCCAACGCATGCTTCGTCGCCTCTGCTAGGAAGGAATGTATGGCAAGTAAAAGAGGGCAATCGCAATGACAATTTGTATCCAAAGCTCAACGTCATGCGTCGATAGGTTGCAGCAATCCTAAGAGAGACGGTCAACACGAGCCATCTCCTCCAGATCAAACCACCTGATGGCTTGTGGGGATGCTCATGAATGAACTGCTCCATCTGGTATGCCTCGTTACTAGGCATGAGTGGGACGGCGACAATACCTTTGGAACTCCCGCCAGATCCCGTGGGGTTCTTCCTTCTTGACAAGGACAGCGTGAGATGTTGGTTGCAGGTTTCGGTTCCTCACCCAGCGGCGCGAGAGACTTCGCTGCATGTCGGGGGTTCTTCGGCACTTGAGCCCAGGATTCTTGCTTCGGCGGGAGCTGCAAGAAAGGCCTTAGAAGCTGCTGGTAGTGATAGAGAGTAGAGCACCTGCTCCTGCAGCTCTCTAAGCCTCCTCTGCTCAAGCTCCTTGATACCTTCCGGGTTGTTCGGCACCCTGGGCGAGTGCGGGAGAGCTTTTTCGAATTCACGGTCTGATGCCAAGCTCCTTCTGTTGAGGGCGAGGGGGATATGGCTTTCTTCTCGAACACTCTTCAAGATTTCCCTAACCTGAAAGTCAACGGTGAGTCACCGCAGGAACCGACGGTCTGATGTCACCTGCGACTTCTTGGCTGATGTTATCTGTCGCCTCCGACTGAACGCGTCTTGCGGGTTCACCTGGATCATCCAGTTCAAAGGACTTGCATCGTGGTCGGATACGACACCATGTCGCTAGGAGGGTTTCTAGGGCTGATTGGAACGGAGCTATCATAACAAGCGCTCAATGTGCTGTGGTTGACAACACAACAGACCTGTCTCGATGCCGATAGAGAAGTTTCTCAGCCTCCCCCTGCAGATTCCTGCGCTCGGCATCCTCTGACATTTGCTGGAAGACAAGAATCAGGCGGACGGACAACCTCTAGCCCATTGAAAATCACCTGCGCTTTCTGTAGCACGTTACATCGTTTCATCAGCATGTTCAGCCTGTCCTCTTTGTTCTTCTCGACTTCAATTGGCCTTGTTTTGAGCTGCTTCTTGTTGTTTCCGCTGGTGGCCAGAGTTGGCAACGAACTCCTTTGGACGTCAGGGTTGATGTTCTCCTTGAAAACTCCTCCATTTGACACATCCTGACCGTGCTTGAGCTTCTGAAACATCTTCCTGTAATAATCGTCCATCGGGTGCTCCCATTGTGTCTTCTTCTGTGAATCATTATAGAAGTAAGATTGACCGTCTGCTGTGAAAAACTCTTTCCAATTCTCCGGCAATTTCGCCGTCATCGCTTCTACAGCAATCCAGAGGAACTTCTTGTCGTTGATAGGATCCATCCCAAGATATTTCGCGTAATCGTGAACCTCTTTCAATTCTGCGCTGCTAATTTGATCGTTGAAGTCGCTTTCTTTCATCATCTCGATGTCAAACTCGTCATCCTCATCCTCTCCATCCACAGAAGAAGGCGGAGAAGGAGTTGCGCCATCACTATCTTCATCCTTGAGAGCTTGCAGAGCGAGAGAAGTCTTGAACTTCGAAGCCCAAGAACTCACCCCTTTGTGAACAGTCTTCACATCTTTCTTTCTGCCTTCCTTCGCTTCCTTTCTATCTTCCTTTGCTTCGTTTCTGTGTTCCTTTGCTGGTTCAACTGCCGCATTCGCCGGTTCTTCACTCTTCGCACTCTTCGACTTCCTCTTTTTCTTATTCTCGTCGTGAGTCATCAGCGCAAAAATCAGCCGGGCAGGCGATTAGCTCGAGGGCTCCATGGCAAGGCAACAGGCGAGGGCAGATCTAGGGGAAAAGCTTGAGATGCCTTACGGAGAAGATGGAGGAGGAGAAGATAAAGAATCCAGTGCAACAGACAGAATCGGAGAACCCGGAGAGATGCTGGTCGCTCCTAGCGGTGGAGTGAAAATTGCTGGGATGGGCTCGGGAGGTGAGGTGTTTAGCACGGTAGGAGGGGGAGTGAGCTCGACAGGAGGAGGAGGCGGAGGCGATGTATGAAGAATGGTAGGTGAAGGAGTGAGATGGACAATTGGGGGAGAGAGGGAAGGAGGTGTAGTATGGAGGACTGTAGGAGAGGGGGTGAGTTGCACAGGGAGGAGAGGAGGAGGAGACGTGCGAAGTACAGTGGGAGAAGGAGTTAGATCTACAGGAGCAGGAGGAGGAGGAGAAGTGCGTAAGACGGTGGGTGGAGGGGTGAGACACGGAAGGGGGGAAGGGGGGGAAGTACGAAGTACAGTGGGGGGGGGAGTGAGGTAGTCAGAAGTTGAAGGGGATGATGGAAGGACAGCAGGGACAGGAGCACCTATCAAGGAAGGAGAACCCAGCTGAAGAGAGTGGAGAGGGGACGCGAGGGGGTCAGGAGAAGCAACCCTTGTCCTCAGAGGAGGAGTTGTGAAAATGGGAAGATGATTCAGGGGAGACGACGTTGAGGCGAGGGGAGGAGCAGGAGGCGTTGCATGGTCAGGTGTGCGATGATGCAAAGGAGGAGATGCGAGTGGTGTAAGGGGGATGGAGTCGGGGTCGTGAGAATGTGGCGGAGAAATAGGGAAATGCGGAGCTATGGAGGGTGGCGAAGGAGGAGGCGTTCGGTCGTGAGTAGAAATGGTTGAGGTACGATCGTTCGACGGAGCAGGAGCAGGAGAAGGAGCAGGAGAAGGAGCAGGAGCAGGAGCAGGGAAGGGGTGCAGGAGACGAACAGCGATTTGGAGCAGATTCCTAACGGTCTTCTATTGCACACGCAACGGTCGCAACGGGAGCATGGCATGCAGACGGATTGTTGTTGGTATACAGAGGCTGGCAACATGCACAGGTACGGAGAGGAGGAGAGAGGAGGATAGTGGGGGAGAGAGGGAGAGAGGGATGGATGGATGGAGGGAGGGAGGGAGGGAGGGAAGGAGAGAGATAGAGAAGGTGAGAAAGCAGAAGGGAATTCATGACGAGGCAATAAAGGAAAGGAGATTTAGGAGGGAACGAGAAGCTCGATCTTAGGGGACATGAGGGTGGAGAGGAACTGTCGAGAAGGTAGAATGATAGAAGTGAAGATGGGGAAAAGGGTCAGGGAACGCAAGCGCAGGCAAACGATAGCTGTTGAGAGAGCATGAAAGCTGGCACGTGAGATGAAGCATAGAAAGAGAGCGCACCAGTATGCAACAATGCAGTATTGCTGTTGGTTGTGTTGTTTCGTATTGATGGAAGCTCGCTTTCTCTTGCATGTCCTGCTCTTCCTTGAATGATGTTGGTATGTAAACGGGATACAATCCTGCCTAGTTTTGATGAGTCCCTCTTCGAAGCTGCTAAATGCTGCTGCTATGCATGACTTAGTTTCGCAAGGGACGCGTCATCTGAGCATGCAAAGACTGCCGATTCAGAGCACTGGGGAGGCGCCAATGAAGGGAAGCACAGGTGCTCCAACAAGATCAGAAGTTGAGGGTAGATGAGATGAATCTTGACCCAGGTTGCTACGAATTCCCTTCTGACCTTAAGTCTTCCCTTGTCAAACTCTTGAAGAAGGTCAAGTTCGAGGAGGTGAGATGGCGATGACGATATCTTTCGATGTGTCTGAAAAGCCTCGCACAGAAAAAGGGAGTTTCGAAGTTGTTCCGCAAGCCAAAGGAACCGCTGCAGCCCCTCGACGACCAGGAAGGGGTGGAGGGGGAGGCAGTGAAGGACTACGTGGACGTCAGTTACACTTCAGGTTCCCATGGCGGAGGTGGTTGAGGACTTGGAGTAATAGGAAGACAGTTACAAAACAATCGCGTGGACCTACATGGGACGAGGACGAGGACGAGGACGACTTTGACGACGACGTCGGGCAGACTCCTTCGACCCCCCATGGCATAGGATTCGTCGGGACCCACATCGAGACGATCAAAGAGGTTCTAACAGGCAGCCCAACTTTCTACAGCCAAATATTGCGGTCGCTGCACGAAATCCTGAATCGACTTCCGGTCATGATTGTTTGACGGCGGGGGAGGGGTGCCGCTCAAGGGTTGTGCAGGAGTTCAGTCCGAAGAAGGTGACGTGTTACGGGAGTGGAATAGGAGTCAACGCGTACGCTGTACGTGCCGCCTGGCCCCACTCTAACATTCTGGTGATTTGATTTCTTTTTTTCTGTCTGTCTGTTATCGTGTGTTGATATTGAGGGTTCAGATCCATTGCATCGAACCTTCACATCAGCGAATGGATGTAACTCGCATGCTTGAGACTTGGCGTGTGCTGAGATTTCATCAGATCGGAAAGCATGTGACAGAAGGGTTCCATAATCTCGTTTGGTCAAGTGAGCTGGAAATCGAAAGAAATGTGAGGAAATGAGAGTATGTCTTTGATTTGCTCATGTGCCCGCACAGTCTGCTGTGAGGCAACTTGATCCCTTGCATTCAAAGAGTAGCAAGGACTTCTATGGGGAGCTTGTCTTGGACACCAAAAAATCCACGGAACCGAAGACTGAAGTCCTAGAAACTCTTGAAGAGCAGTCAGACCTTGTTATCGTCGATCTTTCCTCGTTCTCATTGCCATCGGTCCTGATTATCCTTCTACTCTGTTCTGCAAGTCTGAATGCTGACGACTTAGGATGCTCAATGGGACGTGATCCAACGATTGAAGAAAAGGTGATTTTCTCAATGTCTCCCTTCTCAATCAACCTGTCCCTTTAGAACTCGTTCGTCTTCCTTTCCCCTTCCCATCTATCATCATCACCACCACCACCAACACCACCAACACTACCACTACCACTACCACTACCACCACCATCATCATCACCACCACCACCACCACCACCACCACCACCACCACCACAATCATCATCATCATCATCACCACCACCACCACCACCACCACCACCACCACCATCACAAGACTCGGTCTGATGTTGGTCTGCCAGGTGCAAGGGAGTGCTCTTGGTTGTTGATTCGGGTACGCAAGAAAGCTTCATGAGGATAAGTCAGTCTATTCGTGCCGCTTTCTGCTAGGTCATTACG